CTTTTTTTTTTTTTTTTTTTTTTTTCTCTTTTTAGTTTCGATTAATTACTAGTATCTCCATTCTTTTCAAGTTTTGATTTCTGCATGTTGTGTTATCTGCAATTTAACTTACATAATGAGAAAAATCTCCTTTCGTGGTTTCGTGGCTAAGCAATCAATGTTAGTTATCATTCAAAATTTGAAAGATTGTGGCGAGGTTTTATTCTATCTTTTCAATTTTGAATTTGTTCTATTTGTTTTAGTCACTTTCTTTATCTTTATCCCTTATCAAGAAGTAGAGCATGGCGTGAGAAATGTTGTCTCTAATTTGTGTTGAGAGTTCCAATTGGAAGTATTGTGTTATGAAATCTGAAATGGTATTGTGTTATGAAATCTGAAATCGTTGATTTAGTTTGTTGTGTTTGTTTTTAAAGATTTGTGTTTATTAGGGGCTATTTAAAGTCAATTGCTGATTTAGTCTTGTTTTATTTCATTGTCAATATTTTTGATCATTGGAAAAGCTTACTTCTACTTTCTAAGGAACCATAGGAAGTAGAAGCTACTGTCCATACAAATGATTTCCTTGCCCGTTATTAGAATGATTTTTTTCTTATGTTTGCTTTGGTTGCTTGTGCTTTCTTTTTTATTTTTTTCAGGAAAATTCACCTCTCGTCGTAAAATTAATTGCATATTTCTAGTTCTATTGAAGTGGCTCTTTTCAAACATTAGTTGTTTGCGTGTACATATATCAATGATTGCTCACTTGTTGAACTTCTTTATTCAGATGGAAATGGGAAAGAATGTAGAGATTCAAGGAACGGGCATGGGAGTCATGATGGGGTTTTTTCAATTTGGTTAAATAAGATAGCTCTTTAAGAAACTGCGTTAGAGATTGTGAGCATGCATATTGGTTTTTTTTCTAATTGACTAAGATGAATTAATCATAATAAACTAATATGCATACTCACAATCCCTCGATAAGACACAGTTTTTTGAAGGGATATTTTATTTAAAAGTGAACAATGATGGAGGCATTAGCCTAATGACAATTTAGGCAAGGTGGGTCAAAAGCTTCTTCTTTCTCTTTCGTTTGTGCTCTTATCTTCCACATTTCCTCGGCTGAACTCTTTTTCCCTTCATTTCTTCTGCATTATTTTCTAAATTTTCTTTTCCACAGATGCATATGCGACCAACAAACGATAGTATTGTCGAAATCTATGTCAGCGGCAGTGGCGATGAGAGTTCTTTAAGAGATGACATGATAGTTCGAGCGAAGAAATTTGACACTCTACAAGTTAGTGATTATGTCCAGTCTTATTTAGTTTATTAATTATTAATTGTTGAGGTTAAAATGCTTGCTTGGTGATACTGTAGTAGAACTCTGATAAACATAGATGTTAGTTTTGTTAGTGTGTTTTGAATAAGTGAGGTAAAGTTTGATGATAATGTTGTAGTACTTGTGGATAAGGAAGGCTAACCCATTGGAATGTGAGTCTTTGACTTAATTCCTCACGAACTCATGACGAAAAAACATGTAAAGATTGTCCTATCCATCCTTTTTAGCCCCACCCTTCGTGTATTGAATACTTTATTTTGTAACGTAAATAGATTATAAAATTTTAATTATGAATGGAAGTCATATTATTTAATGTGTTTTGAAGTATTCCATATGTTCATTTAGTTAAATTGAATTAAATTTATTTTATAACATACTATAGCTTTAATAAAAATGCTATAAAATGTTTTCATAGCAACATATATGAATATTATAACCATCCATTATAGCTATACAAAAAAGTTATAAAAAAAGTCTTAAGACATTTAATAGTGTTGGTTGTTAGGATGTACGAAAAAAGCTATCAAAGGTCTATGATAGTTGTTCACCTGCTATTGTATCCAATATTTGTTGTAGTGATTTTTTAGGCTCAAGAAAGTTGGCACTACCTATGAACATTATGATAGCATTTATTTAGACCTGAGAGCCATTAGCTGACCTGCCTCAGACGTGCTGATCGTGGGAGATACGTTGAACTCACATCATGGGAGATATGTTCACAAATCAAACATGACACGTGGCATGCTGAGATCCTGCCTATCCACCCTCAAAGCATTGATTACTCATGCATTGCCTGCGCGCGTAGGGAATCTTCTTTCGCGTGTAGGCGCGTCAGTGACTTCTTTTTGTACTGTTCAGCCTCTGTTTACCTATTTTCATCCTGATTTCGATATTGACCCTAATTTTACTTGAATCAAGACCTACCAGAGGAATTTTAGAAATTTTGGAGCTCCTGACTCACGAAAAAGCTAGCTTGGGAGGGCACGCTTCATCCAAGTAAGTTACCACACGGATTTTAGGCAAGTAATTAGCAATCGCTAGAATGTGCTATCATGCTAACATTCCTTACCTTAGGTGGTTAGAAAATGCGTATTAAGGACTTTGAAAGGGCGTGTTGGATGAGTATGTATTGTACGTATGTCATGGTAAAATTACAGTTATACCCTTAGGTTGAGATTTCCAAGAAGCATGCTATTTTATGTATTATACAAGGCTAAAAAGAAAATATGCATGATTAAAATACGAGTTGGGCAGTATGGGATGAGTGTGGCATGCATGATGTAAGAAATTACAAAAATACCTCTATGATGAGATTTGTGATGAACGTCGTTTTATATGCTTTCCATTGTGTTAGAAAAAAGGATGAGCTATTGTGACCTGTGCTTCGGGTGATTGATGGATGTTATCTTCCTGTAGAGCTTGTTTGCTTCTATGTTTGCATGATATAGTGCGGAACAAGCTTCTATGTTTGCATGATATAGTGCGTGTTAGCTCCTGGTGTGATTGTATGTTCCCCCTGTAAAGCATGTTTATTTGTATAGAACTAGGGCATTAGAGTTAGGTTGACTAGACGATAACTTAGGTCAGAACACTTCAAGTAGACTGAGCACTTTAGAATCATACACAACGGTCAGAGAGTCTAGACCCTAGTGCTCCTAGACTAAGAATGACTTGAGGAGTAAAAAAAGAGCAGCTTGGAGTCATAAAATCATGTTAAGCCACCTAGCCTCTTTAGGAATCCAATAGACCTCCTCGATTCCCCATATATGACTAAGGTGAAGTTTAAATTGTGGATTACACGCTTAGGTGATCGATAGGAATATCTCCCTAGTAAAGCATGCACGAGAGAGCTCAATTAAGATTAGTGCACTAAAACTAATGTGTTTTACATGTTTGACCCAGGTCAGTATGTTTCTTGTTGACCTTGCACGCCATGATCGTGAATGATTAGAGGTTTAAACCTATATGCCCCCAGAGATTGGTTTGGCCATAGGAGCTAACCCTAAAGTCTTGGAAACGAGAGATGAGATTTAAACCGCCTAGACGCCTCTAGAGACCTAGAAGGCCACCACAGCAACCTTGGAGAAAAATAAAGGTAGCCTATAAGCCGATAGTAGCCAGTACAGTGTTTGCAGATTCCACTCCAGTATGGTACGTTTAGCTTGGCGTGAGGCCGATTAGGAACGTGTGACCTAAGAGAGAGTTTGGGTGGATTACCCTGCGCGGTGGATCTGCATCATCCACACGAGGATGTGCAATGAGCGGGTGTCCATGGTCACGGTTCGGTAGAACTACCATCGAGTCAATGTAACAACTTGAGCAAGAGAATGTCCTACCTTTGGGAATCGGGCATAAGCAACTTTTGAGGACGAAAGTTTTTAAGGAGGGGAGAATTTGTAACACCTGAGTCTCGACGAGGAATTAGAAACCCAATCTTTTCTTTTAAAGTCGAGCTTTTGAGATTTTATTGAGTCTTAGAGGCCAAATTTCCAGATGAGATAGAAGAGAAAAATGCTTTGAAAAATTCCATAAACGGAAAAAATATATAGAAGAAAATAGTGAAAGTTAGAAAAATCGGTCAAAGTCAACCCACATTTGGTCATTTTGACCCTCCTTTCCGGGGTCTGCATTAGCCTTAATAAGATTATAAGAACAAAGAAAAAGAAAGAAACAAAGAACAGGAAAAGCCGCAACTTTTTACAAAGATGGAGCTAAAATTCGACATGGGTTATGCTCATTCTTCATGCTCTCTCGTTACAACTTTCTCCACCAAACATTTCTGCTTTTCCCAATCTTCAATTTGCGTATCAAAGTTACGCCCAACAAGTCAGAATCAAATCAGATCTATCAAATTCACTTCTCACCCTTTTCATTGTTGTTGTTCCTCTTCACAACATTTGCCTTTAAGGTGTAATCAAGTAGGTGAATTCGAAACCCAAGTGAAGTCTTTGAAAACCATGGTGGATATTCATGGCATTGATCAAGAGTTGCTGAAGAAGATGGTCTATGATGCTCTTGTTTGGAGTTCTCTACATGGACTTGTTGTTGGTGACAAGTCAGTGAAGGTAAGCGTTTCTGCAGTTTATAGGATTGATGTTCTCTGCCTTCTATTTGGTTTTTGTATGCTGAAAATGTCTTGTGATTGTTGCTTCTACTGTTAGTTTGGAAAGATGAAGGACCGAATGATTCATAATAATGGACTATTACTCGTTGCTTATGATACTCTCTCCAATTAGTGTTTATGAAAGAGAAACGCAAATGTTCTTACTAAAGGAGCATTGGAAGAAGATATGGTGCATTCCTTTAGATTCTGAACCAAAAAGATTGAAAATTCCATATCCTCTCATCATTTCAAGTAACTGTTATTTCTCCATTAAAAAAATGGTAGAAATTTCTCAAAATAGTGATTGGAATAAGGACGTATGTAAAGTGGTTTCTGATGCTGAAACAGCAAACGTCTTTTGGGGTAAATTTTAATATCATTTCAAATTTTTTGGGCTGCAGAGATCAGGTAAAGTACCTGGTGTAGGTTTGGTTCATGCCCCAATTGCCTTGTTGCCTGGGTTATTTCCTGAAACTCATTGGAAGCAAGCATGTGAGTTAGTCTCCATTTTTAATGAATTAGTCGATCGAGTTAGCTTGGATGGGACATTTATACAGGAATCATTATCGAGGTATGCTCGAGCCCTTTCATGCCTGGCACAGACACTAGTTATTGACTCTTTTTTCTAATTTCCATGAAACATGTTCTTGGCTGTTCCATGTAATATGTCTTGAGCTTAGGTACGCTCTGACCTCTGGCTTAGAAAAACTAAAAGGCAGTGCCTTCTTTATTAGCATGTATCGATTATGATCCGAACGTATTCTATTCATCTGCTGATCTGGTTCATCCTCATTCGTTTGTTCTTTCCTTTTTAATTCTTCTAACTAGTTAGGGTGTATGACTACCTTCCCTATTTTCTACCATTATGGTTATTAGTGGAGATTGTCTCTGCCTAAAAAAGACTTTTGATATGTCATTCATGTTGCAGAACCAAAAAAAGTGGATGCTTTTACGTCTAGACTTTTAGTTATTCATTCCAAGATGCTTTTACGCCTAGACTTTTAGATATTTATTCCAAGATGCTTTTACGTCTCTGCCTAAAAAAGAGTTTTGATATGTTATTCATGTTGCAGAACCAAAAAAGTGGATGCTTTTACGTCTAGACTTTTAGATATTCATTCCAAGATGCTTCAGATTGACAAAAAAGAGGCAAGTGTATGCTAATTTTTTTGATATTGTGTAGGTCAACTATCAAACTTTTATATTGTAGCTTTTTGGATACAGTTAATGTGTTTCATGACCAATTTTTTAAAAGGCTTAAGGCGGCTTGAGGTTTTTCCTTATAGAGAGGCGAAGGGTAAAAACTCACTGTGAAAAAAAAAAAAACAGAAAGAACACAAGAGTAAAGAAGGGACAAAGAATAAAACAAAACTCACCTTGTTGTGTTGGTCGTCAAAGAGTTGTGACTTTTTTCTTTTGTTAATGCAGTCACTCAGAGTCAGTCTATTAAAATAACACAGCAAGGTGAACACTGGATATATATATATTTTTTAAGTAAACCAATAGAACTTCTTCTAATTTTTCAGTGCATTTTTAAGTTTTCTTTGATATCTGTCTTTCCCCATGGTTGACGAAAATGAACTGCTTGAATTAAATGCACCGCTTGCACAGCACAGGCCTATGGCGCACCAGAAATAAACACAAGGCTTACGCCTTATAGCCACAGAGGTGTTAGGATTGAGGCTTATGCCTCTATTGAGCAAGGCGTAGGCCCCTCTTTGTGTGTAAAAGACATAAGCCTTGAGAAACAATGTTGCTGCCTCGCTTCAAGGCTTCTGCCTTAAACACCTTTTAAAACGTTGTTTATGACAAGTTTTTAGTTGTTATGTTTTTACTATGTGACATGAAATATTTACATAACCTTGCAGTTTAGAATAAGTTAACTTCAGTCTTGTAAATGAATATGAAACTTCCATTATGTTTGTGGCTCCTAAAGACATTACCTACTTAATTTTGATGTTTGTGGTTCCGAAAGGCCTTACCTACATAATTTCTCCATGCTATGCAATTTTATCCAAAAGGGTTGTATTATTTAATTGAAGGATTATAACGAACTTCTCCAATTATTCAAGTAGGAAATTCGCTTGGGTTTACATCGCTCAGATTATATGCTTGATGAGAAAACAAAATTACTTCTTCAAGTAGAGCTCAACACCATATCATGTTCATTTGCTGAATTTAGTCATCTAGTCAGCCAACTTCATAGGTAAATATAACTTTTATAGACATTTACCATTGAGATTTCTTGTGCCTTAGATTTTGTGTATATTTGGCCATTTTAATCCTCCCATTAAAATATAACTTCTATCAGAAAAAACTTGTACATACAGCAGATTATATTTGATCCTTCAATTATTTATTTATTTTTATGAGAAACCAAGTTTTCATATACAAGGGCATATAAGAAAAATATCCCAACAAGGGAAGTCCAATCGAAGAACGAGACTCCAACAGAAAAGAATGATGCCTAGTTGTTAATGTGAGACCCACATCGGTTGGAGAGGGGAGCGAAGTATTCCTTATAAGAGTGTGGAAACCTCTCCCTAGCAAACGCGTTTTAAAACCGTGAGGCTGACGATGATTCGTAACGAGCCAAAAGGGACAATATTTGCTAGCGGTGGGCTTGAGCTATTAAAAATGGTATCAGAGCTAGACATTGGACAATGTGCCAGCGAGGACGTTAGGCTTACAAGGGGGGGATTGTGAGATCCCACATTAGTTGGAGAGGGAACAAAGCATTCCTTACTAGGTGTGGAAACCTCTCCCTAGTATACGTGTTTTAAAAATCTTGAGGGGAAGCCCAGAAGGGAAAGTCCAAAGAGGACAATATCTTCTAGTGGTGGACTTGGGCTGTTACAACTTTTCCTCCGGAAGTTCTCTTGATTGTTTGAGATGTCCCAGAGCTTTGGCTTAACTCTTCAGTAAAAGAACATTATTTATCCATGCCTGATCATTCATTTTGTTATTTTATCTTGCAGTGATTTACTTGGTCAATATGGGGAAGTCCTCGGATTAGACTCGAGAATGATTCCTGAAAATCATGCGGGTAATCAATATGCTGAGGCATTGGTCAAAGCTTGGACTGAATATAACAACCCAAGGTTAGATTTGAAAATTTGATATTCTTATTCATCACCATTCCTCAAACCTAATTTTCAGTGGGTTATTAATGTTTGTAGTGCTGTTATCATGATTGTGGTTCAAGCTGAGGAACGCAACATGTATGATCAACACTGCCTTTCTGTTAACTTGAGAAAAAGATATCCACTTTTTCCTGATTGTCAGGCTCCATTAGAGTACATAATTTTCTTTATTGTGCACCCATTCTTTTTACTATTTGAACAATTTGATCTATCGAGTTTTCCACGTAAACGTTCCTTAGCTTTATAATACACATTATGTCAAAACTCTTCGGAAAACACTGGCAGAAATCGATAGGGAGGGAGAACTGCAATCTGATGGAACACTCCTTGTGTAAGTAGTTTTGAATGTCAAAATTAGTTTTTCCTATGAAAATTGGGTTACCATTTTATGTTACTTGGGATTCCTGAGAGCTTCCTCCTGCAGAGATGGCCAAGCAGTTGCAGTTGTGTACTACAGGGCTGGATATACACCCACTGACTATCCTTCTGAATCGGTAAGTAACTGCTTCCTTCCTGTTCTAACTTGTCATTCATGCATCTCCTATGCATGTATTGGCATTTATTTGATTCATAACTCTAATTTATTTGGTTCATCTTCCATTTTGTTGATTCATGTATGACATTAATGCTTCTATACCTATATAAAGGGTTGTCTAGGATGGTTGAGATGTATTGAGTTTGAGTGTCATTTTGCATTTGTTGAGTGACATTTGGGAGGAACTTTGTTGAGAGATCTTGTGGGGTGAGATATACACTTTGTAAACACTTTGATTATTGAGATTGGTTGTTATCCGTGGATGTAGGGGAATTTCTTATCTCCGAACCACGTAAATCTTTGTGTCTCTTTGTTTAACTTTTGTTTGTGGGTGAGTGAGTGCGATCGATCTTGCCTCCGCTTCCGTTACAACACTTCTTTGATTGGGATTACGTTCATATATTCTTTTGGAATGAGCTTCCTGGGCATTAGTGTTACCCTTCATTTTAGGAAGAAACTCGCATTTTCGAATGAATCTCAATAGTTTTATGAAATCTTAAGACAAGCAAAAGTTGGTTTTTTCATATAGAAATTGATGACTTTTATCTATTTCAATTCCAAGCAATTTCATTATATCTTGAGTAAAGCTTTGGGGTTATTTTTTCATTTGAATGGTAACAAATTTCAGGAATGGAAAGCAAGGTTACTTGTGGAGCAGTCATCTGCAGTCAAATGCCCATCCATATCTTACCATTTAGTGGGCACCAAAAAAATTCAACAGGAACTTGCACAACCAAATGTACTTGAAAGGTATTAATTATTGATCTTAGTCTTGCTGAAAAATATTACCCAATGATCCTATGCTTTTCCGTTAGAAACGAAAGATGGTCCGAGATAGTTTAATGATCGTCTGAGGTCATTAGGACTGCATTACTCGAGGGAAAGGTGTCGAGTTATCCCAATTCCCTGCCGAAAATGCCTTAATTGTATCTGTTGGATCAATTTTCAAAACCCAAATGGTGATTCAAACGGCTCTAAATGTTTTATTTTTGGGTACTTTTTAGACGAAACTAAGTAGCAACCAAGTGGCAAAACAAGCTACTCTCCCAAGGAGAGCTTTAAAGCCTTTTTATTCACTAAATCATAGTTTCTATCCCAAATATTTCTATCTCGTGGCTGCTCTCTCCATAGAAGGTGAAAATATACATAGTAGATTAGTCTAGTAAAATTTACTAGCTGAATGACTGATTCCACGCAACTATGTGACACTCGAGTAAAGGAATGGTACATATGAATAAGAGCGATCCTAAAAATAAGATGACTAACAAAGACTTAAAAGAATTGAAAGTTAGTACCTATATAAATAAGGTACACCTTCCTTGGTGGCTCAACCATAGGTACTCTAAAATGAAGCATGTTTTGCTTGGACATATCACCGTGAGGTGGAGACTCATCTACATGCATGCCTGCTAATAAATTGACTGCCATTACCAATGCATCTTCATTCTCCAACGGTGTTGAAACAATTAAACCTATATCTCCCAATTGCAGAGAGCTGTTAAGATAAGACATTGTTATCAGATTGTTGGGATTTGATAATTTATGTAGGAAATAGCTTTTCTTATTGCAATTTCTATATGCAGCTGAACTTTTAAGCCCCTACTTCAGGTTCCTTGACAATAAAGAGGATATTGCCAAGATAAGGAAATGTTTTACAGGGTTATGGAGTTTAGATGACAAAGATATAGTAAACAAAGCCATCGAAACACCAGACCTATTCATTATGAAGCCGCAAAGAGAAGGCGGAGGTCGGTTCCATCACCTTTTGAATTTTCTCATTGTCATTCGCCTGAACTCCTTTCTTCCTTTTCTTAACAAAGAATTCATCATTCTCCTTCAGGGAACAATATCTATGGCGATGATGTGAGGAAAACCCTTGTAAGATTGCGGAAGGAAGGGAATGTAGAAGATGCTGCTTACATTCTTATGCAGAGGATATTCCCACCTGTTTACCCAACGATTTTTGTTCGAGATGGGATTTGTTACAAGGATCCCGCAATTTCAGAGCTTGGTATATTTGGTGCTTACTTAAGGTATGCAACTGTGATATCCTACCTCGGTTGGGAAGGGGAGGGGAAGGAGAACAAAACACCCTTTATAAGGGTGTGGAAACCTTTCCCTAGTAGACGTGTTTTAAAAACTTTGAGGGTAAGCCTGAAAGGGAAAGTCCAAAGAGGACAATATCTGCTAGCGGTGGGTTTGGGCCATTACAGCAACTCAGTTATCTACAACTTCTTTGAGATTATCTGGTGCTAACCAATTGGATGATTATGATGGATGAAGAAAGAAGGGACAAACAGAGACGTTTTAATTGTGAAACTTGTTTGTTTGATATGCAGGAACGAGGACAAAGTAATTGTCAATGACCAATGTGGTTACCTGATGACGACCAAAGTATCTTCATCAAATGAGGGTGGGGTTGCAGCTGGATTTGCTGTTTTGGACAGTATTTACTTAACTTGACAACAGGTTTTGTTCCTAATTTTTCCTTTGCTAAAACCTATAGAAAATCCTAATAAAATCCCCAACTAAGGGAAGGATTTTATATATTCTGCAGACATCTTTCTCTCCCCCAACTATGCTGAATTGATCTAGAGTTTTCTATTTATGGAGTTCAAGTTTCTCTGCCTTAATATCAGAGAAAAAAACAAAGCCTAAAGAACCTTAAGGGGTGGGAAGAATCCCCGCCATTGCAACTCTAAGGTTGTATCCAAAGAAAAATACCCCAGCTCGGGAGCCTCCAATGTTAGAGATAGGAGCCTTGGGTGTAGGGCTTGAGGCCGAGGAGTCTCGCTATGAATCGAAAGATTGTGAAGATAAAGAGGAGGCTTTTGGTCCCCTACGTTGTAATAAAGGAAAGAGCCACGATTCTATTAAGCATCACTAATACTGCTAACTCAAAAGAAAAAAAGAAAAAGAAAAAAGAAAAAAAGGTTGGATAAAGGATGTGGGAGAGGAGCTGTTTTGGGTTTTCTTCTAGAAAGAGACGGAAAGAGGCAATGGAATTGTGAGACCAAGGGGGAGAGGAGGTGTTGTTTTAATTTGCTAAGTTCAGTTGGCCATGCAAGGAGGATGTATAGCTGATTGACTTAAAATACCAAAAGGAGTCGAAAAGCTTTTAGTGGAGGAGCACCTATGGTCCTCTTGATATATAAGCATCATGTCACGACCATACTATGAAGAAAGTAGGTTATGACCCTCATGTTGTAACAAGCAAAGCGGCGACCCTTAAGTGGCGCCCATATGATCATGCGAGGGCCTAGACGAGTGTCATGATGCGAATGAGGAGGACAATGAATCATCCAACACACCGCATAGAGTGTACATTGAAGAGAAGACGAGACATAAGCAAAATAAGGCCTACAAGTAGACACAAGTGTCAAAAATAGGCTTGTTGAAGAGCCAGGTAGGGCTCCGGGCCTTAACCTCGAAAGTTGGGGTTCTGGAGGGAATTTGGTGTCAGTCGGACACCGGACGGACATTCCACAACTCCGTTTGACTGTTCACCAAAATGGCGTCTATTTGAGAAAGATTGAAAATGCCTCAAAATATACCTTGGGGGAGGCATGATGTCAGCTCTCCACCATCCTTGGGCCCTGTGGCCTAACTGAGCTACCTTGTGGCACATATGTGTGTCAAGTGAGGGCGAGTGTCTCAAGCTACTTCCTTTGAAATGAGTTTTTCAAGGATAGTACTGGGTGTTGGATCGGTAAAAAGCCAACATCGAGTAGCACAAGTGTGCCAGTGTTGCGCCCCCAGCCCATGTGTACTCGTGCTAGGACGCAATAATGACACACTCGTGCCACTCGGGGTACTGTCCTTGAAGAACCCATTTTAAAGGAAGTTACTCGAGGCACTCGTCTCGCAATGCTTGCCCTCACTATGACACACGTATGTGTCATAGGGTAGCTCGCTTAGGCATAGGGCCCAGGGGTGGTGGAGAGCTGACACCTCCCCTAAGGTACATTTTGAGGCAGTTTCAATCTTCCTCGGGTAGATCCATTTTGGTGAATGGCCATACGGTGTTCGATTGACACCAAATTTGACGTCATATTTCATATGGACGGACTTGACTGACTCGAGAATCGCATGCCCAAATTCCCTTTGGAACTCCGACTTTCGAGGTTAAGGCTTGGGGCCCTACTCGGTCCTTCAACAAGTCTATCTTTGACACTCGTGTCTAATTGTGGCCCTTAGCTTGCTTATGTCTCGTCATCTCTTCAATACCCACTCTGTGTGATATGTTGGATGATACACCGTCCTCTTCAGTCGCATCACGACACTCTTCTAGGCCATCACGTGGCCAGATGGGCGCCACTTAAGGGTCGCCACTTTGCTTGTCGCAAAGCGAGGGTCACAACCTACTCCATTCATAGTATATTTGTGACACGATGCGCATATATCAAGAGGACTACCGATGCCTCTTCTCCACTAAAAGCTTTTGAGCTCCTTCTTTTGGTATTTTAAGTCAATCAGCTATACATTCTCCTTGCATGACCAACCAATCTTAGAAAATCAATTCCATTGCCTCTTTTCAAAAACTTCTCAGATTGACCGAAAAGAATTCATGAACCACATCTTTCATTCAACCTATATTTTTTTGAGTTAGCGGTATCAGTGTAAGGTTAATGGAATTGCGACTCTTTCCTTTATTACGACGCAAAGAAAATAGCAACCCATATTTTTTCGATTGGAAAGTAATGTATCTCAACTCCATCTCCTGTCCTACTCACATAATAAAGGGCACTTCCCATTCCATTTTCTTTCTCTTATGCTAGCAACGCTCTGTGCAATCTTTCTTGAGTGACGGTGTACAATATTTGTGGATTTTCTTCTATAGGGACACCAAAGAAAAAGGGATTAAACAAGTATTTCTTGATGCTTTCAATATCATTTTGTTCTCCTTTCCTCGTTAACATCTGTGCAATCTTTTGTATGGCGTCAATTTTTTATTACTTTATTACAATCCTTCAATGTCTTGTAACAACATAGCACTCAAGTGATTGTCATTTTTTAGAATCGACCACAAAATCATCAACAATAGCATCATTCGACACGTTAATGTAGCATATCACCTTTTGCATAGCAGGTTCATAATTAATTATATCTTTTTTTGGAGAGGTCACTATCTCTGTATCTTTGGCAATAATATGATGATCCATTCATAAAAGGCAAGGCTCCATATCGTGTGGTGGCATCAACCATGATTTCACCAATATGCAATGTAAAGTTTTCATTTGACCATTGTAAGTCCCTAATTTTCAATTTTATATTTAATGGATCTCGGATAAATTCAAAATTTAAAATTTTTTTTTAAGTGAAACAACGAATCTCTACCTTGATAATATGGACAACTAGAAGGAAAAGTAAAGGAGAGAAATGGTTTTAAAATAAAATATGAACATTAGAGGAAAGGACATCGGATTCATATTTGATGGCATGTAATAAAAAAATAATGGTGGATTCATATGCTTTTTATTCTTTCTTATCAAAATTAAAAAATACTATTACCTTGAATTTGTTTTTAAAATATTTTCAAATTTTGAAAAGTATATCAAAAATATTAATTTTATTTTTCAGAAAGTTAAAAAAATACCCTTAAATTTTTGACAATTTTATTATTAATATCTTTAAACATTTTTAAAAAGTTAAAAAGTACCATTAACTGTCGTATAAGACTAAAGGTTTTCATGGTTGGTACATGATCGAAACCGTATTAAAAAGTGTTTAAAAAGTGTTTTCCATTTTTCTTTAATTTTTTTTTTATTACCGAGGAAAATGATTTATGAGCGGTAAATAAGTGGTTTTTGTTTAACTTTTGTTTAAAAATTTAAAGATATTAATATTATTTTTAAAAGTGGTATTAAAAAGTGGAAATATATTTTCAAGGTACACTTTCTCATAATTTAAAAATACTTTTGATGGGTTATGTCTAAAAATAATAATAAAATAAAAGTATTTTTTGTTTAATTTTTAAATTATAAGAATATCTTTGAAAATAAAATTGAGGAATATTATTATTAATTTAATATATATATATATATATATATTTGTATTAATTTAATATTTTTTTTAATAAAACTTCCACGCCCAATCCACTCGGCTGGCTGTGCTCCCTCGTGCTAATGGCGGCATTGGCCGCATCTTTTTACAAAGATAGAGCTAAAATTCGACATGGGTTCTGCTCATTCTTCATGCTCTCTCCTTACAACTTCCTCCACTCAACATTTCTGCTTTCCCCAATCGCCAATTTGCGTATCAAAGTTACGTCCAGCAAATCAGAATCAAATCAGATCTATCAAATTCACTTCTCACTCTTTTCGTTGTTGTTCCTCTCCACAGAATTTGCCTTTAAGGTGTAATCAAGTAGGTGAATTTGAAACCCAAGTGAAGTCTTTCAAAACCATGGCGGATATTCATGGCATTGATCAAGAGTTGCTGAACAAGATTGTCTATGACGCTCTTGTTTGGAGTTCTCTACATGGACTTGTTGTTGGTGATAAGTCAGTGAAGGTAAGCGTTTCTGCAGTTTATAGGATGGATGTTCTCTGCCTTTTATTTGGTTTTTGTTGGCTGAAAATGTCTTATGATTGTTGCTTCTGCTGTTAGTTTGGAAAGATGAAGGATGAATGATTGATAATAGTGGATTATTACTCGTTGCTTATGATACTCTCTCCAATTAGTGTTTATGAAAAAGAAACGCAAATGTTCTTTCTAAAGGAGCATTGGAAGAAGATATGGTGCATTCCTTTAGATTCTGAACCAAAATATTAAAAATTCCATATCCTCTCATAAAAAAGATGAACACGACTCTTCACAATGGTATGATATTGTCCACTTTGAGCATAAGCTCTCGTGGCTTTGCTTTGGGCTTCCCCAAAAGGCCTCATACCAATAGAGAGAGTATTCCTTGATTATAAACCCATGTTCATTCCCTAAATTAGCAGATGTGGGACATTCATCAAACAATTTCAAGTATAACCGTTATTTCTCCATTAAAAATATGGTAGAAATTTCTCAAAATAGTGATTGGAATAAGGATGTATGTAAAGTGGTTTCTGATGCTGAAACAACAAACGTCTTTTGGGGGTAAAATTTTAATATAATTTCACATGTTTTGGGCTGCAGAGATCAGGAACAATACCTGGTGTAGGTTTGGTTCATTCGCCAATTGCCTTGTTGCCTGGGTCATTTCCTGAAACTCATTGGAAGCAAGCATGTGAGTTAGTCTCCATTTTTAATGAATTAGTCGATCGAGTGAGCTTGGATGGGAAATTTCTACAGGAATCATTATCTAGGTATGCTCGAGCCCTTTCATGTCTGGCACAGACACTAGTTATTGACTCTTTCTTCTAATTTCCATGAAACATGTTCTTGACCGCTCCATGAAATATGTCTTGTATGCTCTGACCTCTGGCTTAGAAAAACTACAAGGCAGTTTCCACTTTATGTAATTAATAATCACTTGCTCATCAGGGGTCTATTACATTTTCTTTCCATTCTCATTACCCTATGCATTAGTTAAATATCAACATGGTTCTTCCGAGGCCACCACTAATGTTAAATAGTAATACTTGATGAAGCAATCAACATGCTCACTCCCTACCTCCCTTTTCATCTCAACTTCTATGTGTCAACATTTCTAGAATTTCTAAAATCATACTTGCTTAAATATCTGAAATTGGAGAATGATGTTTTCAGATTGGAATTCTCATGTCCTTATACTTTACACAATCATCTTGTCTTAGCTCTGCTCTTGCTTTGACCTTCACATTTTAGACAGTAGTTACTTTTGTCTTTTGTAACTTGTCTTTGTATGTCATTTCGTTTGATGGCAGTGCCTTCTTTATTAGCATGTATCGATCGTGATCCCAATGTATTCTATTCATCTTGTGATCTGGTTCATCCTTATTGTTTGTTCTTTCCTCTTTAATTCTTCTGGTGTATGACTACCTTCCCTATTTTCTACCATTATGGGTATTAGTGGAGATTGTCTCTGCCTAAAAAGGACGTTTTATATGTCATTCATGTTGCAGAACCAAAAAAGCGGATGATTTTACGTCTAGACTTTTAGATATTCATTCCAAGATGCTTCAGATGGACAAAAAAGAGGTAAGTGTATGCCAAGTTTTATTGATATTGTTTGGCGTGATGAGTAAACTATCAAATTTTTATATTGTAGTTTTTTTGGATAACAGTTCATATGTTTTATGACCAATTTTTTAAAAGGCTTAAGGCGGTTGAGGTGTTTCCTTACAGAGAGGTGAGGCGTAATCCTCATTTTAAATTTAAAAAATATATTGTAATCATAAAACACAAGACCATATATATATTCTTAACATTATATTATTTCTTAAAAGTACAAAAACACTCTAAAAAGTTAAGAACTAAAAGGGAAAAAATCTCAATAGTCCGTTTGTGTTAATAATAATCTAAACAAAATGAAAACAAAGGTTAAGTAGGAAAAAATAATAGAACTCGCTGTGAACAAACAAAAACAAAAAGATAACAAGAGTAAAGGGAAAAAGAATAAAACAAAGTTCACCTTGTTATATTGCTGTCAAAGAGTTGTGACTTTTTCCTCTGGTTAATGCAGTCACTCACAGTCAGCTCTATTTTAAAATAACACCTCAAGGTGAACGTTGGATATATTTTTTTTTAAGTAAACCAATTGAACTTCTTCTTCTTCTCATTTTGCAGTGCGTTTTTAAGTTTTCTTTAATATCTGCCTAGCCCTATGGCCAACCACCAAATTATGGCTGACGAAAATGCACTGCTTGAATTAAATGCACCGCTTGCACACCATGAGCTTATGGCGCACCACAAATAAACACAAGGCTTACGCCTTATAGCCACAGAGTTGTTTGCACTGAGGCTTATGATCCCGTTGAGAGAGGCATAGGCCTCTCTTTGTGTGTTAAAGGCATAAGCCTTGAGAAACAATGTTGCTGCCTCACTTCAAGGCTTACGCCTTGAACGCCTTTTAAAACGTTGTTTATGACAAGTTTTTTGGTGCAGCCGTTTCATTAGATATATTCCATTCACTTGTTAGAATAAGTAGACGAAAAATCTCATTACTCCGGTTTTGTAAATGAACATGAAACTTCCATGATGTGTGTGGTTTTTAAAGACATTACCTACTTAATTTTGATGTTCGTGGTTCCTAAAGGCCTTACCTACTTAATTTCTCTTTGGTATGCAGTTTTATCCAAAAGGGTTGTATTATTTAACTGAAGGATTATAACGAACTTCTCCAATTATTCAAGCAGGAAATTCGCCTGGGTTTACATCGCTCAGATTATATGCTTGATGAGAAAACAAAATTACTTCTTCAAGTAGAGCTCAACACCATATCATCTTCATTTGCTGGACTTAGTCAAATAGTCAGTAAACTTCATAGGTACGTATTTGAGAAATTTACCATTGAGATTTCTTGTGCCTTCAATTTTGTGTATATTTGGCCATTTTAATCCTCCCATTAAAATATAACTTTTATCAGAAAAAATGAGTACATACAGATGATTATATTTGATCCTTCAATTATTTATTTATTTTTATGAGAAACCAACTTTTCGTATACAAGGGCATATAAGAAAAATATCCCAACAAGGGAAGTCCAATCAAAGAAAGAGACTCCAAAAAGAAAAGAATGGTACCTAGCTGGTAATTACAAAAAAAACTCGAGAGATTGAAGTCATGAAGAAGTGTTAATCTAATGGTATCTCAAACCTCTCTACTCCCCTAAAAATTCTATTGCTCCTTTCTTATCAAACACCGCACGAAACAACAAAGCAACCAGCAAAACCCTGCCCTTATTCCAAAAAGGAGGTTGTTGTGGCATTTTGTCCATCATAGAATGACAGTCTGTGTTACATGTCAAACAAAGCCCAAACAACTCCAAGTCCTGATCCCACAATGACGAATATGGTTGAGATTTTTCAAATTCTCCTCTGTAAAGGATGCACCGCTGCAGCCTCAAGGAATAGGAAGGGTGCCTCTCAATATAATTCTAAGTGTTGACTTTTCCTTAAGAAGTTAGTTAAGAGTATAGGGAAATTCTTTAGTGCGAAAAATTATCAATTTCGTTGGCTGTACTCTCTTCCACCCTCTTGAGATAGGTGACATCTCTCCGCACCTTTGTAATTACAAGATTTCTTTGATCTCTACCAATTGTATATTGAGAAATTCCTTTATTGCGGTGTGCTTTCACTTCTTTTTATATCATAGGTCCTAATCATGAAAGTATACAAGTGGAAGTCAGTCAAGAGAGGTAATTAATAGTCGAAAACAAAAAGGGGTAACTATACAAGTGAAATCAATCAAGAGAGATAATTAATTGTCAAAGACAAAAAGGGTAACTAGTGTATGGGAAATGACTGTATTTAAGATATGACAAAACCTCCATCTTTAAGTTAGAATATGAAAAGGCTGGTAAGTAATATGGTACAATGTTTTAAATAGCGTTCAAGGTGTAAGCCTTGAGGCTAGGTGGCAACATTGTGCCTCAAGGCTTATGTGTTGAACACATAAAAAGAGGCCTACACTGAAAGGTGTAAGCCCCTATGTGAACGCCTCACAGGCAACAAGTTGTAACCCTTTGTTTATTGGTGGTGAGCCATGGGCCATGGGACTATGCATATATCAAAGAAAACTTAAAATGCACTAGAAACTGAGAAGGCATAAGAAGTTCAATCTATTAGATGGAATGCGGGCAATGATCTTATATGTCCAAGGGATAAGACTAATAGGCGAATACTCAAACACATATTTAGAATCTAGTTTTTTGGAATTAAGCAAACGTATGTTTCATTGAGAGCCACATTGATTATCCTAACAGTATAGAAGTTTCTAATCATAGTCATAACATCTTGCTTAATAATATTCAATCAGAATTTAGAACTCCGCAGTGAAACCATCAAGACCAGCGGACTTACTTGAGCCTAAGGGTTTTACTGCTTGATAAACCCCGTCAGAAAAATCAATTTCCTAATCTGCAAGTTGAACAACTCTAATCGGACTCCAATCATTGAATTCATTCTCAATATCGCTTGCTGAAAGTAAACTGATTCCTTCTTAAGATAGGACCTCAGAAATCGAATTTTTCCTCTTGTGTGCAGCCATGATACGATTATTATTTTTTTTCTTTGTATTTTTATCACTCTCTTTAAGGCAATTCAACTTTCAGTGTTGTTTCCAGTAAATGTGCTCCTATGCAGTTAAGTTCTCAATATGTTCTCTTAAAAGTCTTCTCATGGGTGTTTGATCTAATAAGGATAAAGGGCCCCTGTCCTGCATGCTGTCGATTTTTCAACTGAGAAGAGAGAGAATTTGGGAAACCGCATTACGATTCTCTTTTGTTCAACCCCTTTTTTCCTGTTTTCTTTTAGTTTTCTTTTAAATTTTGATTACTATTTTTCTTTCCATTCTCTTTTCTTTTTTTTCTTTTTTTTTCTTATTATTAGTTATATTATTAGTGATAACAATAATCATATTTTGGATGAACTCAAGATTATTATTAACACAAGAAAGGTAGATGTTGTGATGAACATTGATGGACTATTGAGATTATTTCCTTTATAGTTATTTATTTTTTAGTGTACTTTCTTCCTTTAAGAAATTTTATAATATTAGGAATGTATAAGGTCCTATGTTTTATGCTTTAAATATATTTTTCAAATTTACAATGAGGCTTATACCTCATACTGCCTCAAAACTTATGCCTCGCCTCTCCACGAGAAAACCCTCAGGGCCGCCTTAATCGTTTTAAAAGATTGATATAGTATAAGTAATAGTAGAAAGTAAGGATTGGGGGTATGCTTTTGCTGGGAATGCAGTAACTTGGTGAGGGGATTTATAGGGACTCTCAGATTTTCCTCTATTGCAACTTAGTTCCCTTGATTCAATGTTAAGTTTCTATCGTTGTACTTCTCATCTTGTCAATAAAAAGCTTCATGGTCTCTTCTTAAAATTTCTTTTTTGAACTTAAGTTAATAGTGCTTAGGTTGGTGTTATTCTAAGAATTTATATCTCAGAGTTTGTACTTTTCCTCCAAAAGTTCTCTTGATTGTTTGAGATGTTCCAGCGCTTTGTCTTTACTCTTCAGTAAAAGACATAATTTATTTCCTTGCCTGATCATTTCTTTTGTTATTTGATCCTGCCAGTGACTTACTTGATCAATATGGGGAAGTCCTTGGATTAGACTCTAGAATGATTCCTGAAAATAATTCCGGTAATCAGTCTGCTGAGGTATTGGCCAAAGCTTGGACCGAATATAACAACCCAAGGTTAGATTTGAAAATTTGACCTTATCATTCATCACCATTCCTACAAACCTAATTTTCAGCATGACTGACGTGGGTTATTAATTTTTGCAGTGCTGTTATTATGATTGTGGTTCAAGCCGAGGAACGCAACATGTATGATCAACATTGGCTTTCTGTTCATTTGAGGAAAAGATATCCACGTTTTTCTGATTGACAGGCTCCATTAGAGTACATAATTATCTCTATTGTTCACCCATTCTTCCGATCTACTATAGATAGCATGGATTAATTTTCTCAACGTCCAATTTACTTGTGACCAAAACTGCAGATATTGATATATATATATATATATATTGTTGTTTTTGACTAATTGAACAATTTGATATATCTTGAGCTTTCCAAGTAAGTGTTCCTTAGCTTTATAACACACATAATGTCAAGACTATTCGGAAAACAATGGCAGAAATCGATCGGGAGGGAGAACTTCAATCTGATGGAACACTCCTTGTGTAAGTAGTGTTGAATGTCTAAGTTTTTCTTTCGAAAATTGGGTTACAATTTTATGTTACTTATAATTCCCGAGAACTTTCCCCTGCAGAGATGGCCAAGCAGTTGCAGTTGTGTACTTCAGGGCTGGATATACGCCTATTGACTATCCTTCTGAAACGGTGAGCAACTGCTTCATTCGGCTGCTGCTGGCAGCAGACCTTTCTTTGGTTGGGATTAAGTTGATATATTATTTTGGAATGAGCTTGCTGGTATGCGTTAGTGTTACCCTTCATTTTAGGAAAAAACTCACATTTTCCTATGAATCTCAATAGTTTTGTGAGACTTTTAAGACGCAAGTAAAAGTAAATTCAAATTCAATTGTATAATATAAATCTGAATGTAGATTAGTTGTTTGAGGATTTAAAGTTCCTTAAGCTGATGAATCTCAATAGTTTTATTTTTTTACTAATAAAAAATAATTTCATTGATGCTTGAAATTTACGAGAGGCAGTGTTATCCATGATACTTACAAAAAAAACCTTTATGGTAAGGTATGACTATAGGAAGCAAAAGTATAAGATAATTGATAATTAACTCCAAGATATAGCATGGTAAACACTATTGTCGAAAAGTTTTGTAATAGCATGTGTCTTCTTCGTGAATACTCTTAAATTTCTTTCTTTCCATAGATTCAAAATGAAACCATTTTTTCCATAGCAGAGTTTTTGCGTTCTTGAAAGGGGGTACATTAAGGCCATGTCCAATAAATCTCATACCTCTCTTACCTCAGATGCAATTTGAAAGTATTGAGAACCTTATTTCAGAAATTGTGAGTGTATGTGCATTGCAAAATAAGTGGCTTTGTGATTCGTTGTCTTTCTTAGATAATGAGCATCACCTTGGAAATAGAGTCATGCCGAATTTTTTTTTTCTCTGTAGATTTTCACTTGTGCTAATGGTTGCATGCGTTATTTTTCAAAAGAAGAACTTCACCTTTTTAGAGTGATTTTATTTCCATAGTGGGGTTTATTGCTTCTGCTTTTTCCTTATGTCCATCAAACCATGTCAATGAGTTTGCTTCTTCCTTATGTCCATCAAACCATGTCAATGAGTTTGCTTCTTTAGATACAACTGGGACGAAGTCGAGGCTTAATTTGATTCATTACGTAGCTTTGTTATCCTTTAAGTTCCTACCCAGCTTCGGGTCCCAGAAATTGTTTACATTGTTCCATGTTTCTTTGATCATGGTTGGTTTGCCTATGAGAGAGTCACACACAAGTGGATACCACAAGGTTAACGTGGTGTTTTCAATCCAAAGGTTGGTCCACGAAGATTTACTTCCTCCATCACCCATCCTTTGGTGAATTTGGCTAGTGATGAGGTTTTGGTATAATTTTTATGTACTTCCATGACCCCTTCGCAGAAAAAGGAGGGGTCAATTTGTATAGGATGTTAGGAGTATATTTGGCCTTTATAAGTTTTCTCCACGTGGCATTTTCTTCGTGATTATATCTTCATATCCATTTGGCGAGGAGAGTACCTACTTTTTGTGGATTTTCGAATAGAGACATGTATCTAGTGAGGAGGTTGGACAATTTGACTTGTATTAGGATGACCATATTAATAATTTTCTTTCTATTTTTCAATAATGGTCTTCCTGAAGGAGAAGTATTTGTGGTCCTATTTAAGGGTAATCCTTGATACATATGTACAGGCAATTGTTACAGTAAATTAAACTGCAGTCTGCCAACTCATTAGCCACACATCTGATGGTTGTTTTCTTTTAATGTAATCCTTCCAATTTGATGACTTTTATCTATTTCAATTCTAAGCAATAAAAAGTCTCTCTTCAAGTTTTTTTTTACTTCCCTTGTCAACTATTCAAGTTCATTATATCTTGAGTGAAGCTTTTGGGTTATTTTCTCATTTGAATGGTAACAAATTTCAGGAATGGGCGGCTAGGTTACTTGTGGAGCAGTCATCTGCAGTCAAATGCCCGTCCATATCTTACCATTTAGCAGGCACCAAAAAAATTCAACAGGAACTGGCAAAACCAAATGTACTTGAAAGGTATTAATTTTTTCTGTATCTTCAGTTCTCATCTTTTCTCCCGATTCAATTCCCTCCAACACATTGTAGTCAACTTTTTAAGACAGATACACAAGTTCTTTATGTTACAGAATTCTGTCAACTTCACCCAAGACAAATATAGAAGTTTTTAAGTTATAGTCAATTTCATTATACGATGGGATGAAGAGGAAGATAAGTAATCCTCAGAAGATAACCAAAATCTGAAAAGCTTACAAAAGAGTTACTTCAATTGTTATAGATGGAAATTGATCTTAGAATTGCTGCAAGAATACTACCCGGATGATCCTACGGTTTCCCGATTTCTTAAAAATGGATGCAAGATTAGTCCACCCACAACACCTTAGCTTTTCCCTTAGAAACAGAAGATGGTCGATCGTCTGAGGTCGCTAGGACTGCATTAATTAAGACTGAAGATGCTCAAATTCCCTGCTGAAAATGCCTTGATTGTATCTATAGGATGATCAAAGCTGTAACTTTTGTTGTACCCTCTCTTCCAAGTTGACACAGTCTCTTAAGAGTCAGTGCATCATTAGACATATTGCTCCTGTAAATTAAGGAATGTGGTTTTTGTGTACTATTATATTTCCCTTAATTATCAAATGGCCAAAGCCTGAATTAACCTTTTAGATGAAAGAATTATCTCTGGCCGGTTTCTGACAGAACTGTTTCTTTAAATCACCCTAAAGCAATCCTTACCTTATTAACTCGCTCTATGGAGATGGGTGTTTTTGAACTCTAGTTTATAAGATGACTATCAACTTCTTAATTTGTGTATTTGTACAAAAGATACCCAATGCCCGTTAGTGTAGGTATATGTATATGTGTATGTATGTGTTTATATATTTTAAAAAAGTAAAAGCTAAACCCCCGCACATCTGGAAATTGTGGGGAATTCTCCATGCAGGCAATTCGTTCTCAATTCTTTCAGTGAGCGGATTTCAGAACTTAGCTGCACACCCCAAAGAAAAACTTAGAAAGACTGCAAATGAATGATGAAACTATGAATAAGGTCCCTACCAAACACTAAAAAACGGTAGCTACTTTAAATCTTCCAAAGAAAACCAAGAACCAACCACCAACCAACAAGAAGGCCTTTTAAAGCCCATCATGAAACATCATTGTAAAACTCTTCAGCTTTACAAGAATTATTAACCCATTGAAGAAACCAAGGTTGTACTTAGAGGAGAGTGCGCCAAAAATCTTGAAATGAATTCTCTTTATAAGTTGAGAAACTGAAGCAAACCATTTATTTCCTTGTCCTCACAAAAATATTCACTGTTAGAGCATTTCAATCCTCGTAATGGGATTGATCTTGTTGGGATTTGATAATTTATTTAGGAAATAGCTTTCCTTATTGCAATTTCTATATGCAGCTAAACTTTTAAGCCCCTACTTCAGGTTCCTTGACAATAAAGAGGATATTGCCAAGATAAGGAGATGCTTTGCAGGGTTGTGGAGTTTAGATGACAAAGATATCGTAAGAAAAGCCATCGAAGCACCAGACCTATTCGTTATGAAGCCGCAAAGAGAAGGGGGAGGTCAGTTCCATCACCTTTTGAATTCTCTCATTGTGATTTTTCTTCCTTTCCTTAATAAAGAATTCATCAATCTCCTTCAGGGAACAATATCTATGGCGATGATGTGAGGAAAACCCTTGTAAGATTGCAGAAGGAAGGGAATGTAGAAGATGCTGCTTACATTCTTATGCAGAGGATATTCCCATCTGTTTACCCGACGATTTTTGTTCGAGATGGGATTTGTCATAAGGATCACGCCATTTCAGAGCTCGGTATATTTGGCGCTTACTTAAGGTATGCAACTCACTTATCTACAACTTCTTTGGGATTATCTGACGCTAACCAATTGGATGATTATCATGGATGAAGAAAGGAGTGACAAACAGAGACGTTTTAATCATTCAAATATGCTAATATAGGGATCCAAGTTCTACTTTACTCTTTTTTTTTCTTGTTCTGCTCTTTTCAGTCAACCATGGTGTGACTTTGAGAATTCTGTTAGGAAGATACTTTTAAATGAAATATTTAGTAGAGGCATTAGCTGAAATTAAAGAAATTGACTGGAAAATTGGTTGGTTCGGTTGGTTCGGTTGGTTCGAAGTATATTTTCAGTTAGTTTGGATTCAAGCTACAGTAAATTCCTTAAAAGAGAACACTTAAGACTTGAAGCAGCCGTTAAAAGAAGAACAGAGGGTCTGAAGGCTATAAATAACAAGCAAAGAGAACACTTAAGACTTAAAGCAGCCGTTGAAAGAACAGAGGGGCTGAAGGCTATAAATAACAAGCAGCCACCAACAGCCTAAACACAGCCTACATCAGTTCTTTTCCCTCCTAGACAAGGAAACTGACCCGCTTAGGGTGTGATGTCCTATATTGGTTGGGGAGGAGAACAGACCACCATTTATAAGGGTGTGGAAACCTTCCCCTAGCAGACGCGTTTTAAAGTCTTAAGAGGAAGCCCGAAAGGGAAAGCCCAAAGAGGACAATATCTGCTAGGTTCCGGACGATGTGCGAGCCTTCTCGCTGTTCCCCGAAGGGGGGTAGACACGAGGCGGTGTGCCAGTAAGGATGCTGGCCCCAAAGAGGGTGGATTTGGGGGTGGTCCCACATCGATGGGAGGAAGGAAAGAGTGCCAGCGAGGAGGCTGGGCCCGAAGGAGGGTGGAGTGTGATGTCCCACATTAGTTGGGGAGGAGAACAAACTACCATTTATAAGGGTTTTATAAGGGTGTGGAAACCTTTCCCTAGCAGACGCGTTTTAGAGCCTTAAGGGAAAGCCCGAAAGGGAAAGCCCAAAGAAGACAATATCTGCTAGCGGTGGATCTAGGCCATTACATTCGTTAATGATACGAAATATGAACTAGTGGTTGTTTTATCTCTGCTGATTTTTTTGTTGGTCGAATTGTGGGTCGGGATCAAACGAACCATCGACATTTGGAATAGCCATTTGTGGCCTATTCCCAAGCTACACTCAAATTAACACCTTGTCTTTTATGTTTTTCATTCTTTCCTGAAACTTGTTTATTTGATATGCAGGAACAAGGACAAAGTAATTGTGAATGACCAATGTGGTTACTTGATGAGGACAAAAGTATCTTCATCAAATGAGGGCGGTGTTGCAGCTGGATTTGCTGTCTTGGACAGTATTTACTTAACTTGACGGCTTTGATTCCAATTCTCCTTTGCAAAAACCCATAGAAAATCTCCTATATTGGTTGAATTTTCTAGTTGCTTCAATGGGATTTGATAATTTGGAATCCTAATAAACCCTCAACTAAGGGATAGATTTTATTGACATTTATGATTCATGTTACTCACCAGACAACTTTCTCCCCCAACTATGCTGAATTCGTTCAGATTTAGTATCTTTGTTCAGGTGTTTAGTGTCTTTGCTAGCACACCCACCGGCCCCAAGATTGACTCTGATATCAATTGAAGAGAATAAACTCTTCATTCATACAGCGGAGACGTTGGAAACTGTTTTGATTTTATTAAGAATTAAAACGAAAGAATAAATAGGAGAGTAAGAACTCTACCTTTGTAGTGGTAAGACTTGTTGAAGTATTCCAGTATTCTTAATATTTCATAAAATCTTGTTTATTATGACTCGAACACAAGGCTAAGGCTCGAGCCTCAAATTTCAAAAGGATTGGAGAAAGTTTCATGAAGAGATAATTTATTATCCAGAATTTTATAATGTAATTTATATTAATAAATTTGGGACGGTAATACTTTAAACTCTAATCTAATAATTATATCAATTATAATCTTCTTAAATTTTGAAATTAACATGAAATTAACGTAAATTAAAGATTTTTTTCATAATTAAAGTGAATTGTTTTTTGAAATTTACAGGTTAGTGTGAGCTTATCCACGTAGTTATGCACTCTTCGAATAGGAATCCATTTTTTGAAAGATTCTAGCTTTCGTGCTTTAGTGGGTCTCCGAGATCCTTACCTATATGATTCGATTGATTACGCAAAGCCTGCGGTAGCAACGAAATTGGGGAAAGTATACAGAAAAGACAGTTCTTTTTTGTTCTATTAATATTAGATTAGTTTAGTCAGCGATCTCGACTCAATGAATCATTTCTTCCGTGATAAACTATTGGCACCCGTCCTCCTTTTGTCTCCATGGATCGAGGAGAAACAATATATTTTTTCTTCCTTTTCTTTAATTTATTTTTATCGGGAGGATTCTACTAAAACTTATACATTAAGTTATTTTTCAAATTATATTATTTAAATTGCTCTCCAAAATTTTTTTCAAGAAATACGTCATCCAAAGCAAAGAAAAAAAAAAAAAAAAAAAAAAAAAAAAAAAAAAAAAAAAAAAAAAAAAAAAAA